TCACGTGACCACGGGATGCTGTTGCAGTTGGTAAATCTGGGCCTGTTGCTGAGCACCCAGATTGTAATCATAAGGCCACAGGGTTACTGTGATGAAAGGAATTCAAGGACTGCTTTAACTACCACTGATTCAGCACCATCACAAATTTGAACAGTTGCTGAATGAGTTGCTGAATGAATCGGTTAAATGGCCACCTGTATTATTATCCACAGGGACGCGATGGCTCAGTGGCTAAGCTTCTGATCTGAGCTTGTCAATCAGAAACTTCAGCGATTTGAATCCCTAGAGCCGCATAACAGAGTGAGCTCCTGTTACTTGTCCCAGCTTCTGCCAACCTATCCGTTCAAAAACGAGTAAAAATGCAAGTAGAAAAATAGGGACCACCTTGGTGGGAAGATAACAGCGTTCCGTGTGCCTTCGACGTATAGTCATGCCGGCCACAAGACCACGGAGACATCTTTGGATAGCGCTGGCTCTTCGGCTTTGAAGCGGAGATGAGCACCGCCCACTAGAGTCAGGAATGTGTGCGAGGGGAACTTTACCTTGTTACCATCCACTGAATTTCTTTTGATTTAATTACTATATACAATTAAAGGATCACAAACTGGTAGTTCACTTGAAAATATATGAGTTAAAAAGGTGATTAATAAAAGTTTTATGTTCAGAGGCATATGAAGTAACTTGTCTACTAGGGCTGTGTAAAGCCTTTGAAAGAGGTTCATCATTATTATGAGAGCATAAATAAAGCCCTTTTGAATTATGAAAGCAGCCGCATCTTCTGTATTTTTAGCTGACCTTCACTTTGCTTTGAACAAAGCCAAGCAAAGTGAACGCATGTTTAGAGACGGCTGGAGCCTGTGCAAAACAACTGCATGCATGAAAAATAAGAAGCTGTTTTTAATTAGTAGAAAAGAAGTGCTTCATATATACTCCTGCACATTCTGAAAAACCTCCTCCAAAAACTTTACACATCCCTCTTATGCACATATCTGTAGTAGTCCTGCTACATAGTAGAGTGAAACAAGTCACTACAGTTAGCATGATGAATGGTTTGGTGTTCGATTGTATAGTAAGAAATGGTACTATATTTGGTTTCGCTTCAAATAGCAAAGCTATGATTTTTGTCATGATACATTCATGTCATAATACATCAACATATAAAAAACACAGGTTGTCATAAATGCTAATTCTGTATGCACATGATATATTTTTATACTTACATTACTTAAGCAAATAAAGTGAATTGGGGACTTCTAATAATTCACTTCAATGATATGTAGTATCATTGCTTTGAACCATTTAAAATATTGATTAGCTATTTGTTTTATATTTTCTTTTTTAATACTAATTGATTTCCTTTCCTTTCCTGATTTAGATTTGAAGAAAACTCTTGCGGTCTTACTGGATAATATATTGCAGCGTATTGGGAAGCTTGAGTCTAAGGTTGAGAACCTTGTAATCAATGGCACAGGTGCAAATTCTACAAACAGTACCACCACTGCAATTCCTAGTTTGGGGACAGCTGAAAAGCTGAATGTTGCAGGTAGGTCTGAAAACTCTTCGTTTCTGCCCTTTAATTTTGAACTATATAGCACAATATAAAATAGTCTAAAATAGATTTTATTATTATTATTATTATTCAATTGTATCACAGCAGCCAGTTGCTTCGCCGGATTTGGCATTGGTCAGGCCCCACCTGTGGGGCCGTCGTAACATATTTTTGTAATATGCGTCCAGATCCAAGCAGTGT